AATATTATAAACAGCGGACGAAGGAATCCCGTATAGCTAACACGCCTGCGTGTTTAGTAGGCTATCGCTCATAATCCATGTACCCATTCTTATAACCGGAGGCATAACTGATTTATTTATCTACTAATACCTTAACAACTATGTATCATGTCCGACAGTAAAAGCATAGCTATCGTCATGGAGAAGTAAACACGCTGAGGAAGAAGGACTATTGTTATCCCGCAGTTTCGTCAGCTACGTACATACTTTATGTCGTCTGCAGCCGATTGTCTTAAGATCAGAGGGCTGCAGAATTCTACTACGCTGAACTCACACAGAATATCTGGTTATGTTTTGTCATAAAAAAGACAGCGGTTTATATGGCGTTATGCGCAAAAATATATCCTCTGTTAGCATTCAAAGTAACTACCGGTTTCTTTCTGATTAGGATCGGATGGATCTATTCCAGCCACGAGCCTCACGGCCGATCTAGCAAGCTTAAGCTAGATTCTCATGCCCCCAAACAGGCCCCTTACTCCGGATCAGAATGGGTTTCAAAGTGTTGCGAACCTACGGCTAGATTAGTTGCTTTGTTTGGCTTAACAGGATCTTTAGTTTGTAGTCCTGGACTGCGTTGAACCTCAGAAGAAGGACCACAAGTAGTACGATCCCCCACGCGCAGTCTCATGCTGCGGACAAAACTGGAAACAACAATTTGTTTAGGGACACCTTGCTCGCAATGACTTAGGTGCAGTTCAAATTAACGCCGGGCTCTAGATATAGCTACATCCACTAAGCTAAACGTGTGGAGCGAAACCCATCAGTAGTCGGGAGTATATAGTTCACTTTCGATATTCCTCACTGCCATCACTACACTTCACGAAATAGTAAGTTTCCGTTTTAAACTCAATAGTACATCTTCCATGACGCTACCGCAAGTGCGCGCACAGCACACTGTCGCTTGTAACGACGCTGCTCTGTCCATCGTCGCTCTTGATTGAACTTGTGCCGAATAGGCACGCCTAGTCGGATAGTGAGGCGAACTCAGTTTACCAAGAAACTGCCCACTGAAACCGTTTGGTTTGGCAAACAGAAGCTGACCAGTGCTAGAGAACTTGCAAAAGACTGATCATTATCATGTGGAAACCACAGAAACAAACCTGGGAAATAAGTATCAATGAAGCAGTGTTACACGGAAATGAAAAAGGAACAATGATTTTATACGGGTTAAGAAGCAATGCTTTACAAGCCCTGTTGGCTAGTCTGGTGGGTTATCGAAAAACGTTGATGAAAAAATACAGTTGGTAATTTTACTGACAAAAGAATGGACTTATCGTACGTAATGCAGTAGCCCTGCACTCCGAGCGTTACCATAGCTTCAATAGACGAAAAAAATAAAACCCAAGGGCTTTTTCGGGAGTAGGATGGAGAGTAGCGTCAAGTAACAAAATGTAAGTGGTGGAGTAAGTCATCCAACCGAATTTCAAATATGGCTAGCATGGGTGCAGAAACAGCCGACTGGGAGAGAGCGTTCAGTGGTTGATACTTGTATGGAAAAGAAATTTCTGCGGCGAGCCAGACGGCGGTACAGTCTGCCAATTTCAAGGAGTGACCTCAAAGTTTGGTGTTACTGCTGCGTCACAGTAAGGAACGGCACCTAGGATTTGGACTGTACAATCAAGTATAACATAAGCAAGTTGCCTAGTAGTCGGCGATACTGCCCGCTGAATAGTCCCAAACATTTCAGACTCTGCTGCTATGGAAGATGGTGCACTTCAGTGACGCATTTGAAAGCCCGATGTTGAGGTTGGTTCAGTGCAGTAAGGTCCTGCTTCAGCCATGGCTGCCACGCTTAGATTGCATATTCGACATGAGGGCGAACATACGCATTCTGCATCTGTCTGAGATTACTGGTGTCTAGTTGTAAGCGAGAGCGCAGTAGCTTCACGAATGCATCTACCCTTTGAGCTGCTCTCTTTTTCTTCTTTCTTTTCTTGTTTCTATGCAGTTAGTTGATCTTTATGGATAAAGTTCAGCAATCCATAAATACATGCTCCCAATAGTGCAATTCAGACGTTAACATAATCAGTGGGGTTCTCGTCAGGAGCTGATAAGTCCTCATTGGCGAAAAGTGAGAAGTCAGTTAAATTAAACGATGGTGAGGAGAGTAAAATGCTTTCCTTTAAAAAGTGGCTTGCACCACTAGCTAATAGCTTATGGCATTGAACTATGTAGGACAATAGCCATTCATTTTATTTTGAAATCTAACTGCCATTAGGACCAATCTATTCTCTTTTCTTCTTTTTGATGTCATAAGATGCTATAGTTCGAATTCAGTTGTCCCAGCGTTGGTGCTAACCAACGCTCACGCGTATGCGCATTCTGAAAAGGCTTTTGTACTTAGTAGGCAGTGTGCAGGGAACGTTGTATATGAGACTGCGTTAACTAGCGCGGAATTGGTTTCCAAAGTACTAGAAAGTTATAGTCTGGTTGAATTTAGTGTAGTGGGTACGCAAATCCTTAGGCTATAACAAGAACTGCCCAGATTTCAAAGCATTTGGATCTACTTTAATTCTTCTGATGCTTCTAACATGAGTTGGCGATGGAAATAAATGAACCTATCTTGATCGCGTTCCAGAACTCAGTTGACAGCTGTGCATTGCCTTCCCAATTGAATAAAGATATCACCTGTCCCACTCTCAAAAACGGTGACAGGTACCGCCTGTCTCATACAATCCAGTCAACCGGACTAGTGTCAGTCTAACTGCATGAAAACTGGTAGAGAATTTGTCGGTGGGTTACTTGAATCTAGTTAATCCACTCAGTAGAGCACCACATGAATACCGTAAGAGATTTTCATATCTGTTGGATCCATTGGTGTCTCGTTAAGGTTGAGCTGACGCAGTGAAGAATGACCACGTAGTGGACGTGCTGTTCGTGAATTCTTTGATAACATTTATACGGTGACGCAATTGTGTCTATAACAAGACCTGAGCTCTTACAGTGTATCTGGACGCGCTCTCCACTGAGTGTCTGCATTCTTGCGGGTAAGAGAGCAGTGTGTACGCCAATCGTTGTCTGTCATTTAGACAAGCCATCGTTGGCTGCATCCCACCATGCTCAGCCTTTGGATATCTACTGTTTTCCATATACTAAACCATCTGCCGGAGAGCTTGGTGTATCATCGCTGTTATTTACTAATGACATAGAGCAGTGGGGTAGTCTAGATATCCCTGAGGGTCCTGATTCTATTCAGCCTCCACTGGATAGATCCTGGAACTTGTCCACATTTGGCAACTGTCGATAAATAGGGCAAGATATTCCGTTCTTAGTATTGGAGCAGTTTGCCCATCGTTAGCGCACGGGCCAAGTGGGGTCGAACTCTCACTTTTCTCCAACCAATTGGTCCCAATTGGCGTCCACCACTCGAGTATACACCCATGGAACACCTGGACGAAGACTGTAAGTAAGGGGCTCCGTAAATTGCGGTTACCAGACCGCTTTCGACATCTTAACGGTCGATATCTTCGTGAAACTGTTTTCGCGTTCGTTTGGTTCAATCTACAACATTGTTTTCTGGCTTACCCGCCCTGCTCTCACTGATACAAAACGGGGCTCAAGTAGTTTTAACGAGTACGTACTTAGTTGGTTGAGGTGTGAAACGGACGGCTATACTTCGAAGTTTTAGTTCAGCTGAGAAGACATTCGACGCACTGCTGAATGCTGCGAGGAGACCTAAACTTCAGCTGCGTATTTTAACTGGGAAGGTTGGGTCAGACTTGTCTCAGTGATCTAGTTCGGCCGCGTTGTTTGGTCTCCGCATTCATCCCATGAAGCTGTATAAGCCATACTCTGGCCAGATTGAGACGGAAACTCAGTTATCGCATCTAGTTATTAAACGTTAGAACCAGCTTCTAGAAAATGTTGCAATAGGACCTATGGTTTAGGATTTTTAACGTCAGTCGCACGCATTTGAGTGGCAGCACGGAATATTTCCCTTCTCCTGACCATACCCGTCATAGTTCGATTTCATTTCTCCTTCTTGTTTTCACCCACGAGTGTTCACGTTCATTCAAAGGACCTTCCTTTCTTATTACCTTTTATCTGCTTCCTACATCTTGTTTACTTGACTTGACAGACGCAGCAGCTATTACTAGTGCAGGAAACGAGGGCAGTAACTGGTTTATCAGATGCTTCGTTTTAGATCCATCATGATCTTAGAGCACCTTGTTAATGCATGGTTCAGCTAATTCTCAAGAAATATCACTCACGGGATTCTTCTATTTTTCCACTCTCACACTTATGCTTGAGGACACCATTACAGACCTTAAAATCGGTTCACACAAAATGGTGCTAAAATAATTAGTGGGAACATAAAAATCCTCAGTGGGTAACGTAGACCAATATTCCAACAGAGCTATGCTCAACTGTATAGGGATGATTGATCGTCTCCATCCGAGGTAATAAAGGGACTGTTGCTTGTACAAACATAAGTGTGAGAAAGGCGACATAACTGTCGAAAGTTAGGTCCAATTACGATTAACTACATTAGCTATCCTGATTAACATATTGCACTTCAACGGAAGTTAGTGTATTAAATCAGTCGTTTCGATGTATCACTAAAATCGTGGTATTCAATGTGTGTTGCAAGGGTCTCCTACTCCAAATGATATCAAAAATGATATATCCATTCATTTGGGAAGTTAACTAAAGGTCTGACCAGTGCAGCTTTTATGAGCTCGCATGGAAGTTATCTTCGATGCCTATGTTTATACTTCCCCCGTATATACAGAATCCTAGCATAAAATTCAAACTTGATAGACGATTAGATAAAGTGCTTCAGTAGATAAATAACACATACACTTTGTGTTCATGTTTTTGAGCGGCAGCGAATCCAACCGATTTTATGGTGCACCATCCCTTAATGATGCAAAGCCGCCCCACTTGATAATAGATGGTTGTAATCTTTTCACAGTTAGTGCGATATTTTACATGTGATAAAAGCAACACTTCTAACTCACTCTTGCTTGTGATTCCTTAAATCCGAAGGCCTTCAAAAAATCGACAATCTCCTTGACGGATAACTTCCTGTTGCCATTTGTGTCCAAGTGATCAAACTTATGCTGCAGTATGGCTGCATATGCCATAAGTTATGCTCATAAACGATCAGCCGTACACATTAAACAGTTTTACACCCTCCAAAGTTCTAGACTACCGCTGAAGTGCATACCATTTGGCGAAAACACACGTGACACATATGGTATACAAACGCATTTGTATCTGAGCACATCAGATTGGAGGAGGAAGGCGCATTAAAGCGTGCAATAGCAGTAGCAACATATCACCTTAGAAATTCATCGTCATTTCTATACCAGTTTGTCGACTAAGAGTTTAATCATCGGCATTAAGCGGGGCTCAGTTTCATGTGAGACGCAGAGTATGGGTGCTGATGATCTTCAAGAGGTAGAGAGATTGGTAGGAGCCTCGAAGCAACAATATTTCACGAAGAAAGGGAGAAGACATTGGTAGTGATATGTTAACCTTGCGACTGTTCTCCTCGGTCGCAAAAGCAGGAGCATATTGCAGTTATATCCATGGAAAATGAGCGAAGCATGTCAAAATGTCACAGGCAAGACCAAGGCAACCTAATTGACTGCCTCAAGATCTTCTGTGTATATAGCAGATGTTGATGGGGTTTACTTAGCAACGCTACACAAATTGCCCAAATTATCTGGTTGCTGTTGCGTAACACTACTTAGCGTGCTCTCCCGGTTCACGTGATGATGAATAGCCGTATAATGCTTGGTGAGAGACGATGCCGAGCCCCAACTGATCCCCAGCTTCGCTCTGTTTTGTTGCGTCACCACTCCTGCCAACCGATTTAGCAAAGGTATAACTACCCTCTGAGTTGACTGCTGTTCAGTTGTGCTTACGGAAACATCCCCAATACTTCGGGTGTACTCGTGAAGAAGGTAAGAGTCCTAACTGTCTGAGGAGATGCTTTTACAGTTATGACGCATATGGCCTCAGGTGGCATACGCGAGTCTCAGCTGGGCCATCGTGTAGGCGGATCAATATTTGGGTTCGGTACAATTTGTTACGGGGTCCTCCTTGAACGGCAACAACAAATATATATCCTTTTTCTTTGCTGTTTCCAACGGGGTTTTCCTCCTGAGAGACCTGCTGTGCATCGGAACGAACACTTCAGGATACCCATTAGACATTAAGGTCGTCTACAGTAATCCTACAGCTTTTAACACTTCAGGGCTGTAGGTCCCTCTAGCTCCGCCAAAGAGAGTTTTCACTAGGCCTGGTTGGAATGCAACCGGGGCAAAGCTGCAAAAATTATAGCACTATCCACAGGTCGATTTGCGGTGAGCGGTGTGATATAGTGACTTCTAATAAATATATCCAAAAAGTGCAGACAACCGTGTTGTTCCACCTCATGGGATACCGATTGGTTGGAATGAATATAATTCAAGACGGTCAACAGCACCGTAAAATATTCACCGATTGCGAAGGTTAAAATTGCATACATATACAGTCTGTCCAAATTCACTTCATCAATGCTGCCAGAAACTTGCGTTTCTGTCAAGCCTCGGAAGATGTTTGCTAAACTGGCCCAAGTGGGCTGCCAACAGAAACAACGTCGACCAGTTTGTATGCGGTATTGTGTTTGCGACTGGGCGAAACTATCGAAATGTTGACATATCATAAACCGAAGTTTCTTACTAAACGAACGATTGAAGAGGGGACTTGCTGTTTTACAATCAACATGATTCTGAAACCACTTACTACAACAGGCCAGTCAGTTGTCACATTCCACTTTCCAGATGCAATTTTTAGAACAAAACCAAATGGTTCCCTCACAAGGTTGAGTTGTCACAAACCCAGTTTGATGGAGCAATTACTATCTAAGGAAAAATGCAAGTAGTTTGATATCCACTTATTTCGAGAAGTCGAAAAATTTTAAAAGTCCCTTAAAAGTGAAGCCTAGTCTTTTGCTTCCACCCCACTTGGTAATTTTTTCTCAATATATTCACCGACAAATTTGCGATTAGGGCTACCAAAGAAGGAAAATTACCCACTTCTCCGAAAACGTATTTGTGTGCTTTGCAAGTGGAAAGTATGGGACCCATTCCAGTTCACTCTTCCGGTGCCTATTCACTCCTACAATGTGCGGAAACTCCCGTGAAGCGTAAGGGTTATCAGTAAGCAGGATAGCTGGCATACTCCGCTTTGCTAAGGCTTCCGCTAAACGGAGACCGAATCTCAACATATACAGACAACTTGACCTTATGGTCAGATTAGTGGTACTCCAGTAGCATGTAGATTCTCTCTTTCGAAGCGACGACCTCGTTACAGCTTCAACCGACTATCCGTTTCGATCGGTTTTAATCGGAAATCATTTGAATAATGAAAAGTATGTATCCCGGTTAAAAATAGGTGCTTGACAAACACTATTGGATATTTGAAGCGAAAATTAGTAAATACCAAGAGATCTCCTAACCATACGTTCAGTTGTCTTCTAATTTACATGTACTGCTTCATAATGTGAAATGGGAATTGAAGGAGCACACACAAAGTGATATAGGGAACAGTTAGGCTTGAGGTATTCTGTGTGCAAAAATAAATAAAGCAAATGAAATCGCCCACGTGTGCCATTTCTATGAAAAAAATTGATACGTAAATCCAGTTTGAGTACATGGTAACATCATTCCACCGTAACAGTGTACAAGTAATGAAGCACAGGAAGTGAAAATGAGCATGTTGATTGGTGATGTTAGGTTGATGCACTGATCTAAAGAGCCTTAGAGCGTAATGTAAATGTATGAGTGTATCGTTGGGACGTTTTTGAATGCTGCTATTACGAGAAAGGATTAGTATTAGGGAGTGGAGCGTTCAAAGGCTGGCACACACGAAGGGGAAAGCAATTCCGGCGGAAGTTTAACCGATCATCTTCAGCTGGTTATCTTTCAAAGTGGTATTGCAATACAGTTTGTGAAGATGAGGACAAGCATGATTTAGGTTCCACAGGATCAAATATGTCCTTTCCAAATCGGCGCGCAGGCGTCAGTATTGTCCACCGTAGACCCTGATGGCTTTCAGCCTCAGTTTGTAAGGGAGATCAAACAGACCGTTTACATACATGGTTTCTCTACTTTGTGGCATTTCAAGCGCAACAAAGTCGTTCTTATGGCAGGGCTTTCAGACCTGAATGGCATATTCTAACAGTGGATTGAAGTAGGCCTTGAAATCTGAGAGTAGATGGAAGGGTTAATTAACCGGAATGTCCTGCGCTACAAACCTAGATTTTGGTTGTCTTCTGGGTGATTTTTCTACCTGACACGAACTACGAATATCGTCTTGTACCATCACTCCAAGGTTAAATTCAGCAAAGGCTCCTTGCAAAACGTGAACTTCTAGCCTGTACTCGCGCGCTGAATCTCCCAAACTTGGTGGCGTTGAAAGGAAGCACATTCTGTGTAGCCAACCGGTATGCCATGGCAAGTTCATCCTGCAGTGTTGTGGTTATTGGTTGAGTTGATGGCCTAACATATCTTGCGGCCATCAGCGAAGAGTAAGAAGTTGGAAGTGATCACTCTTGCGAGATCATTTGTGTAAAACAGAAAGAGATGTGGACCAAGTACTGAACCTTGTGACACTCCTCACAGAGCATCGGTAGTGTCAGAGATGATGCCGCGAACTCTCACATTCAGATGACTTTGAATGAGGTAGTTGTCTATCTCACCGAGAATCGGATCAGTAATTCCACAGCTCTGAAACTTCCAAATGAGCACGCTGTGTTTTAGACGCTTGAACGCTTTTGAGAAATCCAGATAAACTGCATCAACTTCCATATTGCTATCGGCTGTTCCAGTCCAACTGCAGCGAGAAGTAGTAGATTTGTGGAGCCAGGTCGGTTCTGGCAGAATCCATGTAGCTCTGGTGCTATAATGTTGCGTCGTTCCAAGTAATTCATGAGCGCTTCGGCAATACTGGCCTCTATGAAATTGGCCGGATCTATGCGATGTCTCTTCTTGTGAATGGGAGTGACCATTCTCTGCTTGGCATCCCGTCCAGACATCATGAGAGCCATATTTATCGCCTCTGGCGGATATTATCAGCAGCAGGAGAGGCATGCTCGCGCAAGGGAGGTAACCTCTTCATTGCATCTGCAGCCGTAAACGAGATGTGGCCAAGTACAGGAGATGGTGTCACCTGCACGCACAACGTAGCGACGAAGCCGTGTTCTGGGAGTTTGGGGAGAACTGCTGACGTAGGGACTTAGCCGCTTCTGTTGCAGTTTGTGCTGGTCCACATGACGTGTGGGGGACAGAAATTCCTCCATGCACTTTACGGAGCTGGCTATCATGTCCGTAAAGGCGTTTGGAGCTTAAAGAGAATTTGTCAGCTAAATCCTGTTGATGCTTTAGTTTATCCTCATGTACCAGGCTCACGCAATGATTTCGCTGGATAGTGTAGGCTTCTTTTGTTTCGGCACCCAGTGATTACATGTATTTTTGCCAGCGTAAAGCTCTTCTGACTATACACTTCCGCATCCTGCTGCGTATGAATGTCCTTACACTCATTGAGCTTGATACTTGAAGCACTGGTTACTAACTTGTTGCACTGATAAAAATTCCCACTAGGCGACATTGAACATTTGTAATCAGAACACTGTACTCGCTAGTGAGCTGATGAGTGTCGGCGTCTTCCACGGAATATTCTGCATAGCAGATGTAGTTGAACAGACATGTTACATGACCATTGTGGCCAAAACTAATATCTGTCAGTGCGGTTTCGATCATGAGCTCTTCGTTGGTTCGTTCCCCATCCCGAAGATTGTGTGGGAACCAATGTGGTCATACAGCGGTAATCCAATTATCAGCTCCTGTGAGTACAATTTGTATGGTACCTTGAGGCGGGCTGTGTTTCCTAGGATGTAAAGATAGAGGTATTAGCCATCAGAACATAAGCGTTTGACTTTGCGAAGATAGAATTCGTAGTGGATGCTAGGCGATTGTCCACTTCTGAAATAGATGATAAAGTGCAGTATAGGATACACACTAAACTTGTGTCACCACGTCTTGGGTGAAGACGGTGCCAACGTACATCGACAAAATGAATTTCTATGTTGTTTACGGGAACAAAATAGTTACACACTTCGGTAACAGAAAAGTTCACCACTACGTCTTCTCGGTCGA